ACTGCTTCTACTACTGTGCAGTGAGGTTTTGGAAAGATGAAACGATCCAATACTTTCGGCTTGCACACGTTTATTATATCACAAGGAACAGAACATATATCAAAGTAAAGGAGAAAAAGCAAGCACACATTAAACATGGCGATGATGAATACAATCGATATTAGAATCAATATAAATCGAAAATGAAATTACACTTTTAATTGCAGAGTGCATCAATACCTATCATATTATAAAATTCTTAAATGCATATAAACCTTCTTCAAAATCAAAATTTTCTAATGCATCTTCTGTATTTTCATTTATTTCTATATTTTCATTTATATCTGTATTATCAAAAGACTCATTATCTTTTGTTGAAAAGATACTTTCAACAAAAACATCATTATGATGTGAATTTTCTTTTTCCTCTTCAATGTGATGGCTAGCATACAGAACACTATTATCGTTATCTGCTTCTAAAACTAAATCAATATTTTATATTAATTTTATTTATTTCTATATATATATATATATATATATATAGAATTTCTATATATATATATATAGAATTTATATTTATATTATCATTTTATACAAATATGTGTACATATGTAAACAATTGAGCAATTAAATAATAGAATTATTTTGTTACAAGAAATGAAATGGATATTAAAATAATTTTATTATATTGAGCCTTTTAGTATTGATATAAAGAATTTTACAGTTAATCATTGAAACAAATTATAAAGATTTTATATCAGCATGGCTTATATGTATATAAAATTTGTCATCGCATTTTACAATGTCTCTAATGTTTAGAAAATTTTACTTTTAATGATACTTTCAATTTCAGGAGCAGAACATGATGATCATAATTAAATAGCTAAATCAGAAAAATATTGTAGATAAGTTTTATTGTTGAGTTAAAAAATTAAAAAAAAGCTTTTTTAATAATATTAAGAGCCTACAAAAACCATGCAAGGCGAGATAGGAGAACTTCACAAATAGTTTCAGCCATTCATTGACTGTACCATTCGATATATCAATACTAGAAGACATTATATAAAATTGCTTATATGTTTATATAAAGTCTGCAGTCTCATTTAATCGACAAATTGTATATATATTTACTTACTATCTGCACATGCTTGTTGAATCTCCTGCTGTACTTCTTTTTGAAGTTGTCTATATACTTTTTTCCGTTCTCGAGCTTTTCTTCTTTCTTTCTCACTATACATTATAATCACTAATGTCAAAATACTGATTGAGACTGAAATTATAATTTTTCGCGAGAGAATCAATACAGGAACGGTTTATTGTATATATTCACTTTATTTAGGTTATAATATTTACTAGGAATATTACACCATTTACCCCTAGGATTCCTGTAGATATTTCCTAATTTTTTCCGATTTTCTCTGGCTATTGCAGCGTCGCGATAAATCTAGGGATTACCAATTGGGATCCAAATTGAATAACCAGACGTCTGCTATTATGTGTAAACGCCTGATTTTCTTATAAGGAACTAATCAGAAATTCTCATATTTCTCTAATAATTCATCAAAACCAGGTTCTGTATTAGAAAAACAGATTGGAATCTTTTTAGTTTTCCTATTTTAGGGAAATCTTATCGGAATCCAATAATAAGTAGGGGTCAAGGTAGGGAAATTTCCACACGGGAAGTAATTAGTTTTATCAAATTGTGTGCATTCAATTCTATACAAAGATAGCAGTTGTTAGTTATAAAGTTATCTTTTATTGTATAATTTTTTTTTTTTTAAATCCTGCTTTCCATATTCTTAGGGAAAAAACCGTATACTACATGTAATAAACACGAGCACTTAAGACTGTTGAATCATCTAGGAAAGATTGTATAATGAAATTCATTAGATTAGATTTAAATATGCAATTGTGCCATTAGTATCGTTAAATTGTTTTAAATGATTGATTACAGATGAAGAACACATTTTTGCTCTTGCAAGATAATTCATTTTATCTTTTTCTTTTAAATCCAAAGATGTCAAAAGATGTTTATCTTTTAAAACTTTTTGTACTAAATAATGAAGATGGTCTACAGTAGCAACATAATCTCTTATTTGAAGTGCTATTTCTTCTTTTAAAAATCTTGTCCGCATTTTAGTAATAATATGTGTTGTGTCTTGTATGTGACGTTCTTTTACCTTATCATATTTATTTGAAACCAAGGCCATGTTGAACTCCATGGAAATATTTCTTCATTGTTTGTAATTGATAAGATATTATTAACACACATTGCTTTTAATAGACGAGTATCACCATCAGACGAGAAACCCGCAATAATGATTCTAAATCTTTGTGCTTCTATCTTTATAAAATTCCACCGTTCCAAAACATCTTTCGTATTAAATTTGTTATCCGTGCTAAACATAGATAAACAATACGCTGGAACATTATAAGAGAGAGGTTGAGCCATTATTATACACTTTTCAACAAAATTAAAGCATCACTTACTCTACCCTCCAAAAATAGACAAAATTCAAGAGAGTGTAACTTCGTCAAAAATGATCGTATCGAGATGATCAAAAAAACATTTTACAGCTTGAAATCTCTACTTTCCAAGTTGCTACTTTAGAAAACGATCCTACCGATCTTTCATGGAATTACACGGATAGAAAAGGAGACCCGACGAATCTA